TAATAATCATCATCATTTGTAAGAAATTAAGACCATTAAATTTTATAATTTTAAATTTATTTATTATCTAAATAAAAATATTTTTAAACATATCAAATTATTCTCACTTTCCGTCAAATTTCGTTAAGTGATTATGTTAAAAATATAAACCAGATAATTATGAGATATGATTATTCTAAATATAATAAAAAAATTTAATTATTTAATTCAACTATCAAATTTTTATAGTAGAATATATTTTTACAATTATAAAATATCTTATATTACTATTAAAACTGAAAATAATAAATTTTAAAATTTTAAAGTCAAATTTTTTTTTTAGTAAATATATGTTATGAAAAATTTAGAAAAAAATATTTGAAAGTATAAAAATTATTTAAAATTTATGTAAAAACTCTAGCAAAAAGCCGGAACTAAACGCCTCCGTAACTGCCACATCATGCTCTTCGTATTATCCCATCAAAACAAACGCGTAATGGTCGCGCAGTGACTCCCCATCTCGTACAGTCGTTTACTAAACCGGCACGTGTCAGTTTTCAGACGGTAATAGCATGGATTATATCTGCGTTCTCATCTGTTGTTATTTTACTTTTGTTTATCTCCATTGATCTCCTATCAAATATCAATGACGTTAAAGATTGACGGTCAAGATCTCTTGGTATCCATAAACGTCAGTGCTGACGAAGTACCAGAGCAAATCACTCTCCCCTTGAACTTGTGGTCTCTATCTGGAACGCACATCGCTACACAACCATTACCTGCAACTTGGGAGCTTCCAATCCCAATCGTATTTTTTCTTTTTTTTTTTTGCTTAACACCAAATTTTCATTTTAATACTAAAAACTTCAATTTTTTTCTAATTTTTCTTTAAAATTTCAAGTAAATTCAATTATTTTTAATTAAATTAAATTTATAAATCAAATTTAGAAAAACATTGCAGTGTTTTCTATGGTTGGTATTGGAGCAATCGTGTCAATACTAAATACAACAAAATCATGTAGGTGCAAATATATAAATGCATAACAAACAAACACTACCTATATCATATACATATATTTTCTATGGTCTTTTCTTCTATAAATATAATTTTTTTAAAAATTTCCCAAATTTTTATTATTTTATTATAATTAATATTTATTTCAAAATTTTGTATACTAAATGTTAAATTTTTTACCAATAAATAAGCTTAATATGAGTATTGATATGCATAACAAGTTATTAATTTATTGGGTATATTTAAAAATGATAAATTAGGATTAAACGGTTATGTGTATTAATGTATCAGGTTTAAGTACGAACTTAAAATATGTACAGATACCATATTTGTAATTTCTTATTTTATGATTAACAAAATGAAAAGTGACAAAAGTTGACAATAAAAAAATAATTATGATTTTTGAATCGCACATAGAACTTTATTTTTCTTATTATCCCATCAGCTAAAAAATAAATATTAAAAAAAAGGTCACGTGTTGTAAAACTCGGATTCGATATTTGGTCCGGGATCAATTTTATTAAAATAATTTATTTTATTTTATTATTTGAGAAAAATATGTTATGAATGTAATTAAAAATAATTTTGAGAAAAATAAGAAAAAATTTGAGTTCAGATGATGTTTTTGAAAAAAAAAAATTAAAAACAATAACTCAAAATAAAAAAAAAATTAAACCACGTAAGACGGCCCTTTCAACAATCCTGACGAACCAAAGCACACCGCGTGACAAA